GAGCCAAACGTCTAAACACCACACCGTTCTTCATAGAGGCTATTATTATGATCGGTGGGACCTACTTGAATTCCAGGATTGGGGTAACTTTAATGATCCAAAAAGGGCATCAGCGGAGTAAGGTGTCTCCATCCTACTCAGTGTTAAGAATGGAAAAGTCATTCTCTATACCAAAAGCCAACCTCCAAGCTGTCCTTTTAGTGGCCCACCAGCAAGTATTCATAGTATCTACAGGCTGACCTTGGGCTTATAGTAATTACTAGGTCAGTAGGGTGGTAAGGACTATTGTTGTCTCGGCCAATCAGGAGAAAATGCACAGCTAGGAATGGTGGTAAAATCGTCGAATACGAGGTATTCTATCGACACTTATGAGTTAAAAGAGTATATTGAGCGTTGTGTATAGAAGGGGAGCGAGACTATAGACAGGGTCGAAGACTAACTCACTCTCATATAAATGGTGCAACTAAGATTGGGCGCGCAGCGTCGAAGGCAGGAGTGAAATGGAAGCTTCTCGCCTGTCATAATTGATTGCAAATTCGTGAAATGTTGGAGAGCCATGCATCAACGTTCAACTCTCAAGGGACACGACAAAACCGCTCACTATTTATAATTCATGTTGCCGACATTATAGATCCCCCAATATGGATGATATAAATTATTTCTTCGTCGGTTATTCTTATACGGATCATGTGAATACCTTCTTCTCCTTTGTGAGGCCTACTAAGGAAAATCCTTGGATGTTCCAGAACCTACCTACTTAAAAGGCATACCCAAATAAGTAGTACTTCTCCATAACAAAGGTAGGCAAGTGAAAAGCACAAACTGAGCCTTTAGCTAGAACTCCATTCTGACGTTTTCCGCATGATTTTGAGATAACTCAATGAAGGGTATGGTGAAGAAAAGAATTGTCATCCAAAAAAACCAGCCCTTGTGAAATTGCAGACAACTTTCTTAGTTGATAAAGCATGTACATGATTTCACTTCGAATTGTTGCCCTTCCCTCCTCCCCCATTTTAAGACCATATTCTTGATTCGGACAAATAAAATTAACCGTACAATCATGAGGGATGGGAGAGAGACGGAAAAAAACATTTTAAATAGGGCGGATCGCATGAATGGAAGAATGGATGGCTAACCATCCAGGGGCCTGTCAAATTCTTGGGCTGAATGGCCTACCAATGCCCAGTCTACGAGTCTGCCGTTGTGGTATGCATGGCATGGAGACTGCCAAGTTGTATGCCCTCCTGTAAGGTGAAGGACAAGCAAAAGGGTGTATAAAACGCACCCGAACACAAAGTCTTATTTGAGTAAAAGAACAGACACGAAGCAGATGCAATAGTTTTTTGGAACAAAAGAGAAAAAGGGTTTGGTGAGAAGATGCCCGCCACCACCTCGAAAGCAAAATGTGGGAGAGACAATAGGGAGGTGGGATGTCCACCCACTTCCCGCTTCAGTGGGATGAAGGGCCTAGTGCGTGGGCCTACATCATCTCGCCTGTAAACCAGTACACTGCGTAGGGCAAAACTCGGTCACGTATGTAGACGCAGATGTCGTAGTCTTCCATAAGTTGCTAAAGAGGCAAAAATATTAATACAACACAATTTTCTGGTTTAGTTCTACTAACCACGTATTCCGGTGCATCCGGTGACTCTACAAGTTAGCAAAATGAAATCATAAATGTGGAGACTTCTTCAATTATAAATGAAGGTAGCGCAGCAATTAACCTGGTTGGAGGTCTCGAAAGAGATTAAAAAAGGAGTCCTTTGGCGGAACAACTACATCACCAGTCGGCTCATGTGCACAGGTCCAGTCGATCTGTGACCTTATTGAGGGCGAAAAAGGGAAGAAGAAGAAGAAGAGGAAGGTGACCAATCAAATTTCGCAGTGGAAATCGGACCTAGCAGCGTGTTTTTTGTGTTTGCAGGTAGAATTAGTAACCTAACGAACGAAGTTAGCAGGACTTAAGTGCCAGTCGAGGTAACAGCTACATCAGTAAAACCGAATAAAAAAGGCCAAAAAAATACTGCTAGTTTCATACGCTTTGGTGGAGATGACTTTGGTTGGACCAAATTCATTGAGATCTTCGCATTGGTCAATGAATCTCAATGAAAACTGTTTCATTAAGACATCGCCATTAAAAAAGGGATTCTTTTTGAACATAAATACCAGTCGAAAGCCCTATAAAACAGAAAAATTCCACTTTAGCGTTGACTGATCAACATCCTGCAGCTGATTCTGTTTATCCGCTAGCTGCACAGAGAACCAACGAAAGCTAAGAAGAGTTTCAATTTATCAATGGATTTCACAGTTCCAATGGTCGGAAAGATAACTTACAACCTTGTCACTTTTTAAATATTATATTAAAGTAATTACGAAAGTGTTGCCTATCGCAAGAAGTTTGATGATAGTGAATGTGATTTCAGTGGTGATAGCTTTGTGTAAAACCTAGTAAGTGAACTAAGAAACGGGAGGATGCCCAAGTTCTGGTTGCTGATTTTCCTCGGATGAAACAGTTCAGGTGTAGCGACTTCAGTTTTGGCTCCCAGAACACTCACCCTATTTCCTGCTTCTCTTTGACATTTGATTGCCTACAGTTATGCTACAATAATGACAAAAAGGGATGAGGTAAGGCGAGGTGGGATGGGACAGCATCTCATCCGTAGCCCCAAACTAATCTCACGATGAAGGTTGCCTAAGACTTTTGAGTTGATGGCGATTGCCCCTCTTTCAAAGCTGGTTTAAGGGATTTTGTTGGAAGAGGCAAAGCCAGGCAGTCTGAGGAGAGCAGCGATTGAAAGCATGACAATGTACCGGACTAGAGAGCTTCTTGGAGAAGGAGTACCGGATACCCTCAAGATACTGCAAAATCTCCACATCCATATCTGTTAAGTAGTTTCGCATAAGTGGTGCCGTTTTCAGGACCTTTGCCCAGTAGCCTGGTATGCCGAGACCTTTGTAAAAATAGATATTTATAAATATATGCCAGTGGGTTTATTTACGTGGTTTAAAAAGTTGCAAGATACATGCACATTACGTCATTTCCTTACTCTCTGCCGTATTTGCCAGGATAGGCATTTGATCTTGAACGGATAAAATAAGGCTGCTAAACAGTACGTAGAGGAGGGGTGAGGAGAGGCATATGTGTGAGATGGATGAAGTGAGGTGAAGTGGAAGATCACCTCCTTCGCCGCTAGTGTCGTTCTATGATAATAACCCGAATTCTGAATCCAATTGACGGTGATTTGACGTATGACTTTTCGGCCAACGAATAGTATTAAACAAATAGGAGTGGAATAAAGAATAGTAGGCTCTGACACCTTTTGCCTCATGGCGTTACTGATGACATAATGGAACCATTGGTTTTATCTTGCCATTACTTATTTTGAGGAATTTTCATGTCGAAAGCCGGATACAAAATGCTAATATATAATTACTCGATACAAAACACTACTTAAACGGAAATAGTAGGTGTGGTTAAATGGAGACGAAGTAACACTCACCAGAAGTACCATTCAAAGACACATCAGGTTCGGCATCACCAAAGGTCTTTTGGTTAGCAAGTAGCTCATCCTCTTCTGTCTCGTCCGTGTTTTTCCCAGTCACAATAGCACGTTGCTTAGAGTAGAGAATGATAAAATGTCAATAAAAAATAATGGTCTCTTGCTCCCCACCTAGAAAATTAGTGCATTTTGACAGATGCAACAGACAATGGAAATTGCAGCACGCGTGGATTTGACAGATTGACATGCTGAATGTCAATGCAAAACACCTTAAAAATTATAAACCAAAAAAGATGCATCATTTTGCAGGGTGAATAAAACAAGATGGAGCTGGTCTTATGCTAACTACGAGCATTCAAAGAGTGGATTTTCTTTGTTTTACTAACATAATTTAGGAAGCTCTTAAGTGATTGAATGAACAATGAACAGCATCAGCTGCTTACGACTCGTCGGTTCCTTTTGGACACCCAGAAGCCCCACAGTGATATTATACAATCTTATTTCCAACTGCCTTGGTAATTGTTTTAATAAATGACAAGCATGCACGCAAAGTACACAGGCTACTCATATAAGTCGAATCCCTCAATCAGAGGGCAATAAGCTTTGGCCTATCCACGAATTAAAGGAGATCCAGCACAACTTAGTAATCGTATGGTTAGAATCGGCACAGCACGAGAAGCATCAAAGTCAGTCCAAATTGACAATGAAATCACAATACAAAGTAAACATTTTCTTGACAACCAAAGTAGCTCACCTGGAGGTAAACAGGTGCATAGAGCCTTGCATACTTGAACTCGAGGGCGTACAATTCCTTCAGGTACTCCGAATAGATAGAAGACCTCTTCTTGAACAATGTTTTTAGTGCATCCACACGATCTTTAACGTCCTTCGGTGAACTGAAGTAGTCAAAAGTGGTGATGCATGAGCGCCAATCAAGCTCTATTTGGCTACAGATGAGCAGTTTGGTAGGCTAAACGGGCATTTTTTTAAAGTCAAGACTTCTACGAACATATCAGAGGTGATTGAAAATGATCTCAACATCGGAAGACAGATATGAATGGTGTTAACATCAAACATACTTTCTGTAGGACTTGGAAAAAGCGATAACTTAAATTGGTAAGTGGTAAGATGGATGGACAGATATATGAGCAGATTAATGCTTAACGTACAAAATGGTTGCCTAACTGGATAGATGAAGAGTGGACCGACTGTGAATGAATATAAGACCAAGCTTTATGCACTTAGAGATTGGAAGCGGATCCATATGACCTCAAATAAACATCAGACTTACTTCAAGACATTTAATTCGATCTGTTTTGTCGGACTCAGAGCCTGACTAATCATTTGAATTAAAGTGGCGGCTGGATCATCCATGCCGATATTCAGACGCCTCCAAATTCACGCAAAATCAAACTCACTGCTGTCCTTTTCTTTCCTGAGGGTTTAGACCTTTGGAATCGCTAAAGAAATTGACAATCCACATCTCCAAATCACCAAAACCTCTCAATCCATTTTGAAAAGTAAAGGATTGATACATTAAAATGGTAAATCTGATTTGGTGTGCTACTTATTAAAAATAAGTAAACCGTACAAAACACGTTGTCAGACTTATTAAAAAATGCTTCAAGGATAGGTTCAAGCAAGTAGAATTTCACTTGCATGAAATAGTATTAAAAGTCATGGCGATAAACATTTAGCGAAGTGCTTGTTAAAACCAGGAAAATTATGACAAAAAGTGACACATGGAATATGAGAAGTGTTTACATAATGAAGAAAAAAAATTGCCCCGCGTGACATAAAAATAAGGGATAGAAAAATAGCGACAGACCAAAGACCGAGCTATTACAACGCAGCTCCTCGATTCATACCTAATTGATCGTTTTAAACCAGCTGACAGTTTAAATTTAAACCTTCTCCAAACACGCGCAAACTTTGACTAATCCGCATACAAAAGACAAGCTCTATAAAGTTGAGGCAGTCATGAGGCTTTTGTGCAAAACAGTGATGTACCAAAATGCCTTGCTGAAACTATGTGGCATCCCAACACTTCCCATTCGGTGGCGGAGGGCATTAAGTAGGCATGAAAAGGGGAAAGAGAGGGATTGGGCTTTGACTTGGCCCGAAGGTCAGCCCACGAACAGGATACAATATCAAAATTGGCCGCCAGTCATAAAGACAATCAAACAAAGAAGGCATTATAGAATTGTCTTCAATAAACCAGTACACTCTTGGCGATTTGTCATTTTGACAGAGGTGAGCTAGCAATTACTCGCAACTGACACACTCCTTTAGATACACAAATTAAAACGTGGCTCAAAAAAGTGTAGAGGGCCTAGTGAGTAGTATGTCAATCCACTCAGACAATGGTCAGGCCTTCGAAAATCTAGATACATAGTCATGGAGGTTTCAAGAAGGAAGGTTATTGTACCAGAAATGCAAAACAGGAAAGATGAAGAAAAACCATGACTCCAAAGACCAAGAAGTTATGGGCATATTGAGGTAGGGACTCAACCACTTGGGTGGTGAACGCAAACAATTAATATCTTTTTTAAATTGAAATCCAATTCCCCCTTCCCTCCTCCTGAATCCGTTTTTACCGACAGAAGTCATGGAATTGAGAAAAGAACAACAAATGAACTTAACCTTATTGCTAACGTTTTGTGACCCTCTCCAGTCTAAGCAACGAACTCCTTTCCTCCATCTTGAGTCACCTGGTTGGAATCACGACTTGACTAGTGAATTTACTGAGAACACAGACGGAGAGAAATTCGCATCTTTTTCCCCTTTTACAAGTACAGATGAAGTTCAAAGCGATTTATCAGGATCTGTCACGAGGATGCAGAATCCTTGGCTCGTAATCCAAACAGGAGTAGAACCTAGGCGAGCTGTATTTTCTGACCCGACTTGAACTTTTCGCATTTCGTCCTTTTGTACTTCCGGTTCACCCAATGTCCAATTGCTTCTTGACTTTCTGTACTATAGCTGTAAATTTTCCTTCCTCCCCTCCCCTTTCATGGTTCATTGCGCCTTTGAGGGGGAGTGGGGAAGGTTATAGCACGTCTTGATAACTGCAAGTATCAAGGAGGGAAAGAAGAGGAAGCGTAGAAGGTCGATAAACCTGAAGCCTTTGCGGAGAGGAGACAGCTTATTTACCTATTTTACTATTCTATCTTCAAGTTAGCGCCTCCGATCACGACTTCGACACATCTGTCTATTTAAGGTAAATTTATCGTGCTTCTATCCGTGTTGCATGGCTGCGAGATTGGCAAAGACCATCGCAATGAATTCATTGTCACAACTTTTGCTCTTGACATGAGCTCCTGGAAGACTTCCTTTTGAGCCAGAGCATCCGTCAATCGGATGTTTCCCGATAGTGCCTTCAAGCTGTGTGTTGATATGACGTCAGAATGCTGACAGTTCACTGATACTTCGCCTTCTTCGTAAACTCATTGTGGGTGGATTATGGAAGGCCTTCCTCATCGACACCTTTAAACATAAGGAAGATTCAATGAATACACACGCAACAAACACATAAAGCAGCTAATCCTGCGTGAACAACCTAAAATGTACATTACCTGATTGAGTGACGCGACTTCCTCATCCTCCCGATACAAATTCCGCTGTTCAACCCTTCCACTTCCACCCATTCATGACTGACGCGTTGTATGGGAGCACCAATTATCCACCTTCCCAGGTAATAAACCCAGTGAACGCGAAAGTATGTGTTGGCATTTATAATACTGTATACATGTATAGAGGAAATGCACAAACAAGCAGACATACAGACACACACGCTCATACATCTTTGTATACGCGAATAAGCATATCAATAAAGAAAGAAAGAAAGAATAAATGAGGACGACACTGCGTCACGGGGAGGCGAAATGGAGAAGCGGACCACTGTCTGAACTTCTTGTCCTTATAGAAACAGCAGGAATTCCTGCTGGCAGCGAGAAGAGAAGCATGCACAAAAAAACAGACAGACAGTGACAGAGGAGAAGACCAAAAAAACCGAGACCAGGCTAACGGAGAAGAAAGAAACTGAGAGAATAAACAAAAGCATAGGACTAGAGCTGACAGCTACTCAATGCAATTG